ATGCATTCTGGAAACGACCTTCGTTGAACAATTGAAAAGTATGTAGATAACCTAATGAATCCAATTGAGTATTTTTTATTTCTAAATTTATATATGCTAAATTTGATGCATCAGAAGCTCCTAAGAAAATAAATACAAATACTCATTCTTTTTAAAATAAAAAAAAACATTTATATTATGTAATATAAAAATATAATTACCTAACATATGGTAAAATTTTAATAATAACAATTTTATATGGAAGTTTGAGGGACTTAGAGCATATGCATACTCAAGTACAACGGTTGCTTCCCTTATATATGTGAGTCTATTGTTTTCAACCCAAATATCATACATTAAATGTGCCATCATTATAACAAAAGTATCATTTGCCCTAATAAAAAATATTTCCAATAAATATAACTTTTAAGATGACCAATTATTATAATTTTATCTTACATTATTTCTGAAGATCTTTTGCTATTATTAAATATCTCACATCTGTGATAACATCTTAGTAAGCGATCAGCAAGTTTTAATTTTTCTTCGGTGTTCATAAGGTCATGAATTCCAACATGTCTAGCTAATTGGAGAAATGATAAATAACATTCCATTTGAGGTTTCTGAAAGTATATGAAATATTATAAATTATAACCAATTAACAAAAAATATTAATATAGATATAAATAATTAAAATTGTTTTAAATAACGGGAATATGGTGCTAAATATCAGTGTTATGTAATGAATGTGTTTTACTGCGCAGTAGATGCAAGTAAACCTAAGCGCCAAAGTATTTTTAACTGGAATAATGTTTGGTAAATATCTCTTAAAATCAGTAGGTACTCACCGTATTTGGGAACTCTCCTTCTTTCAAATTAACAATTTCATCCAATACCCTCAAAAACTCATCAAGTAATTCTTTTTTTAAAAGTGACATGTACGGTCTTAGATCATAAAAACAACATGGCTTTTGTCCAAATATCTTAAAATATTCAGTCAAAAGATTGATAGCATCACCTGAAATCATTTTTTTATAATACAGAATACAATTTGAGCACAACTATTAAAAAAAATAAATATAATAACTAACAAGTGTAAAATTATCTAACAATTTAAGAATAATTGCAACAATTACTATTGAGGCTGGAAGGAACATTTTTACTACTGATAAATTCTTCTATAGTTGAAAAAATATTAAAGCAACTAAACAAGAATCGTGAATAATTTATTTTATTAATATTAGATTAATATTTAAGTAAATTATCTTACCCATATACTTATAAGCATTTTCTTTTAATCTAGAATATAATTCAAGGCGAGCAAGGTATACCCCTCTTTGAGGATAGTTTTGTTCAGAATTTAACTTTTGCAATTCATTTAGAAATAACAAAGCCTCTTCAATAGACGAATCAAAGTGAGGTACACAATCAGTATTGCCATTGCAGTTTAAGTACTTATCCTTAGATTCAATTATTTTAAATAATGAATCATAATATTTAGTATAGTAAATCCATGAATCTATGCTGTTAAATAAATAAACATATTATGTTAGAAAAAATATCTTAATTTAAGTATAGAAATTATAAAACTTCAAAAATATTGTACTAAGAAGTTAGTGAAAGATAAACTATAGTATAAAATGTTAAATAAATAAACAAAATTTGATTAGTTAAATAACAAAATAAAAATCTAAACCTGTAATAGTTGAAAACCTTAAAAAAAAGTTTAACATCTAATAATACCTAATGTGTTTTTTTTTAACAAGATCATAATGACTCTTCATTTTTACAAAATACAATACAAGTGCAGTAAGTATACTATATAGTATATAATGTAATGTTTTCAAAAATAAACTTTTAATTAAATATCTAAAAACAATTAACTTTTCATAACTAGGTAAATTAAAATTACATGAAACACAACGAACAAGTATTATATATCTAGTCTAGCTATGTATTATGATTCTTTATTTAAGGCTATAAAATATTTATTTTACTGTTTTTGTGTGCAAATATTTAAGTACTGAATACATTTAAATTAATTTAATTTCAAAAATATAAAAAAAATATGCGTAATTTAATTTTTGTTGTCTTTGATGTTAGTAAATACTAAAGTGTAATGACATAAAATAAAAAAAAATATATTAATCTAAAATAACCAAGAAAAATGTAATCAATGATTCTAGTATTCTACAAAAGAATTTATAAAATTAGTTGTTCAAAGAAATTAAAGATATTTTTTTTTGTGTGAAAATGTTGAAGCTTTGAAACATATAATTTACAATGATACTAATATAAGTTATACTGCATTATGAATAATTTAGTAGAAAATAATATTAATAAAATGTATAATTTTTTTGTGCAAAAAATAAAAAAAGTACCTTAGAGATTGTTTTCAAAGCTGGGTAGTTTAAAATCAGGATATAAGAATTATAAATAAATGTCTACTTGCAAGGTAAAATAAACCACAACAAATTACTTACTCTTTAAGTAGTAAACTTTTTAGGTATGAGTTTGCTTCAGCATACATTTCCAATTCAAAGTAAATATCAATTTTTTTACGAGTGAGACCAACAGTTCGATGTAATTTATCACCAAGTGGTCCATTAAGAATATCTAAGCTTTCTTTGTATTTTTTCTAAAAAAATAATAATGTATATTTAACTTTTGGTATGGGTAACTTCAATTTTACCTGCATATCTAATATCATCAAATACAATTGAATTTCTTGTTCAGCATCAATTTTGTCTTCATTAATATATTTTTGTACCATTCGTTCTGCTAATGGTAAAGTAATTCTTTTTGATATTTCATCATTTGCTTGATATGCCTTAAAATAATATAAATATACATTATGAAATTATATGTAATAAGACAATGTTAAAAGTGTTAATAAACCCTTCATTATTTATATTTTTCATAAAAAAAAAACCTATTAATCTATTTGTTGACATGATATACTTAATTCATATTTTAAATAACTTAAAAATAAATACCTGCATAACAATACTCATTATAGCCCAAAAATAATATGGGTTGTTTGGTTTAACTTTGTGCAGAGCTAATGCAGTCTGTTGCTGTTTTTTGTAATCACAAACACGGACATAGGACATGAAAAGACTAGACAACAACTCTTCGTTGACTGGATCTTGTAATAAAGCATCCTCATATACTTCACATACCATATGAGCTGTATAATTAAAATAAAATATATATCATATCAACATTAATACAAATACTATTGAAATTACGTTTTTTAAGTTCTCTATAGCACGCTGTCAACGCTAGTAATGTTGATTCATCAGATGGCTTGCACTCTCTAACTTCTTTCAACAATGTTATCGCCTCTTGGTCTTTTCCAAGTCGAACTAATGTTAAGCTCTTCAGTGCCTGTATGAAATCAAAATACCAAATAATTTGACTACAAAAATCTACTTAAAAGAATTCTATCTAAACATTTGGTTCATACTTTGGAACAATTTTGACTGGGTAATTTTTTAATTAATTTGTCCAACTCGTGCAAGGCCTTTTTATAATTTCCATTGTCTATCCACTCTGTAAGTAAAAAAAAAAAAAAAAACCAAGAATTAAATTTAAGAACGTCGAACCGTATGAGAATTATTGGAGTAGGTACCATAAATCGGTCTCAATCGCCGTTCCGCCATAGAATTATCGTTCCTACTAAGAGTGCTTCTGGGCGCCATCGGTACCGTTGTAAATTACCCTTTTTTTCCGATACAGTTCCCGACCGAGAGTTACGTATACCTAGGAACGGCAGAAAAAATACTTTGTACTTGTAATGTACTTTATCATCGAATTTGAATTACAATTTAAAGTGATTGAGAATCACATTTGCCGTGTTTATAACCACAAAAAAAAAGGAAAAAAAAGTTAAGAGAGAGAAACAACGCAACCAGTGTTGCTCGCACTGATAAAAACCAAAACCAAAACAAGAAATCGAAAACCGTACGACACGGTTGTACTCATGGAGGTCGGAGGTAGAATATCTACACATGGAGAGTGAAATCATAACAAGATGCTCCACGGCCATCGCGGTCGGTGCGATGGTAAACAAAAACAAAAACAAAAATCACTGTTTAGACTTTAGGTAGTCGATACGACGAATGACGATACCTGTTAAACGTTTACTGCGTCGTCCGTTCTCAAACTCGTACCGTTCGGCAGCGTCATAATATTAATATTATTACTATGTCGTCGTCGTAATATTACATTTTTATTATATTAAAAATACGGGTTTGGCGGTCGTCAATGTTGTCCCGGTGATCGAGCTCTATCGAACGGACGGCGACCTATAACGTCAGAGCGGCCCAGATTTTTCAGGTCCACGGTGACTAAGCTAGTCGTAGTGTCGTACACCGTACACACTCGCAGCCAAACGTACCGCATAGTGTGGTCGTATGCTTTGTGTAGTACGGCACCAAAATCCATTGTCTCCCTCAGTCGATAGTCTCGAAATTGCAACATCCGTCGAGAGCGCTCCGAGTACCCGACACCCGACCGAGTCGTCGCGCCCGCCGCTGGGCTGCCCTCATTTCGCCGTTCGCTCTGTTCGTTTGCGGGTCCGTCTGCTCGCGTTTGCCTCTCACTGGACCACCCTTTGAGAATAACCTAAATCGCATCGTCTATCGACGTACCATATTAGTTGCGGCCGACTGCGTTTCCTTCATTTCGCATTTATTATTGTGGAAATCTGTCACCACCGTGCGGTATCAAGCACTCGCTCGTCTGACTACCGTCTGATCGCTAAAACGTCTTCCACCCGACCTGACGCCGCCATTTTTCGTGAGCTCCGGGTTTTTTCCTCGCCCGCGAGTTCCGTCAGCCCGACGTTTCCCATCGCCGTTCCATCGATCGCGTTTTCGTCGTCGTCGAGCGTACAGTGTTCTGCGTGAGTGCTCGCCGACGCCGTCAACCGTCGTCCATTACGCCGAGCACGAACACGCGCGCGCCCGCGCACACAAGGTAGGTCGACTCGTCTCGAGAGTTTGACCGTCGCCGTGATGGCCGCCAAGAGGTCTGTTTCACCCGGACCCATTGACCTGATGAAGGTAAGCTAATCGTGCTCGATGACATTTTCGAGGACCGTCCCCGGTGTCGCTTTTACTGTTTCGTTTTCAGGGTGGGCTCTCGTGCGACCAGGCCGAGCACGACGCGCACGGGCGACGAGCAGTGCTGCGTTGCGCGGACAGGGCGCGGCCCTCGTTTATTTTTCGTACCGTGTGGCTTGTTTCTACCCCTTTGCGTTTCGAATAATCCTCGTCGCCAGTCTGTCCCGATCGATATCACTTTTGTTTTTTTCGTGAACAATCTGTAGGGACGCTCGCGAGTGTGCGTCGAATGATTTTGATCCAAGCAATATGTCTAAACTCGGAGCTTAACAATAAATTGTTCTGTTTTTTTTAGGAAATAATGAGATTAATTGCTGAACCAAATTCGGTCAACAACAAAAAAAGACTGGAAGTTGCTTATTTTCAACATCCATCTAAGACGGTTGATCCAACAACTTGTGATTTATGTAGCGAAAGTTCAGGATTCGTATGCAGCAGCCAGTATCAAAAAGGCTTAAATCAACAGTAAAATAATCTTATTTTATATTTATAATGCATGTTTTATTTAAATATTAAATACTTTATAATGTTATGTAAATATTTGTGTTCATGCAATGAATAATTTTCTTGATGGACGCTGATTTAGCGGAGCCTATATATGTATCAATAATGTAAGTAAAATTCAATCATTATTGCTGCTAATTAATTTTTAATTTGTTCGCGTTAACCCGTTAAATTGTATGTTTTAGAATGATGTATTCAAAACTCTAATTTTTCAGGAAAAAATATGAAGGTAAGATCGAGAACATGATATTAGTTTAACATACAAGTTTCATTCAAAATATTGAAAACTATTATTTTATTAAATCAATATTGTTTTTACAGCGGTTAGACTCAAGATTAATAAAATATTTGATTTTGAATATCCGTTCAATCCATTTGAATCATTCCTCGAAGAAGTACCTATACAACGCAAATACAGTATGTGTTTTGTTTAAATTTTTTTTCTCCTCAAATACTTAATTTTATTAATCATTTTATCAGATGTTAAGCTTCCTGCCAGAAAACAGTTAGATAAACTAAAAATGATTCGTAAGAACGATAGATGTGTTGTATGTAAAAAAGGTGTTCTTCAAGCACGATTGGTGCAATGTCATTACTGTATTCGACTTTATCACCTCAATTGTTTGGATCCTCCTATCCGCGATTGGGATCATAGTATGAGATGGATTTGTCCAGCACACGATGAGTTCTTAGTTAGTTATTTAATGTTTTTAAAATTACCTAATAATTAATTATTGTTTATACTAATGCATGCATATTTTCATTTTTTAATATTAGGAATTAGCATATCCTGACGTTTTCACTCCTGGTCGTGGATTACTTACTTCTAATAGTATAACAACAAAAAGGACCCGATGTGAACTGCCCAGTATACCTGTAAACAAGTTTTTCAACATACCTAGTAAAATTGATGCCATGTATAAAAAGGTAATAGGTTAAAATTGATAAGCAAGACTTAAACACGTAGGTAACAGGCAGAAAAATAAACTGTACATAAAAATGTAAAATATTTATATCAAGTTAAATTATTTTTAATTAACATACTAACGCACAGATATATATCATAAACTAGATTGCTAAATATGGCAAAAGCGAAGTTCTGCCATTTTATCTGAGGCCAGAAGTATTATCAATTATTATCACAGTACTAAATAAGGAATTATGACCACCAATTATGCCTACAGTAAAATACTGACATCGTCAATTGCAAAAACAGCTAGTAAAAGACAAAAACAATTTTATTTTATAACATGTAATCTACTCTGATCAATGTTATACTAACAATCAGGGTTCGAAGTACTGGACCCAACCCATTAAAACCCACTGGGTTTTAATGGGTTGGGTCCAGCAAAAAAAAAACCCAGAAAAAAAACGAAAAAATAACAAACTTCAAACTGCATATTTATTTTTTATTACTTTTTACTAACAATAAAAATGTAAGCAAAAACATTAAATATTATAATTTTACATTTCTTAATTAAGGGGATTGGAAGCGGCGATTTTCTGTCTTTATCTAACACACGTGGAACATAGGATTATAGACTTGTTCTATGTCCAACGTACCGATTAATCTAATGAAGCGATAAGAATTCTGAAAACAGATTTGAATTTGTCGTCAAGTCTACTTGAGATCGACTTTCCCACATTTTTGATATTGTCCCACCAAAATCATAAAAATGATATATTATAAAAAGTACTTAAAAAATTTACAAATTTCAACTTTTGGAGAAGTTTAAATCAAAAAATCAAAAATGTGGGAAAGTCGATCTCAAGTAGACTTGACGACAAATTCAAATCTGTTTTCAGAATTCTTATCGCTTCATTAGATTAATCGGTACGTTGGACATAGAACACGTCTATAATCCTATGTTCCACGTGTGTTAGATAAAGACAGAAAATCGCCGCTTCCAATCCCCTTAATTATAAACTCATAAATTAACTTTACTTCGACAGTCAAGAGTGACCAACCGTAGAATGAAGATGGGAATATATTATATAATAATACATTATTATATTATTATAATATTTACACTTGTCAAAACCACGATTAAAGATATACGATTATGTATATCTTGTTCAAAACAATTTAAAATGGTACATTTATGTTTTATAGGTTAGGTTTGCAGGGAACTTCCCTAATAAATAAGTGTCAGGAAACAGCATTCATTTGAACATTTTTAAAACCCATTTAAACCCAACCGGGTTGGGTTTTTTAAACCCTGCTAACAATAGCTTACTATAGTAAAGCTATAATGATTTTTATCCTATACAATCTGACAACTAATGCTTAAATTTTAATACTTGGGTATATGATTTATTTAATTTATTTAAGAATTTATTAATGTTAAAAAAACTGAAGATGATCGGTTTTTTTTTATTTATATGTAAAACTAAAAATATCTAAAAGTAATAAGTATAATAATAGTAACTTGTGAACTAAAGAATTATTTTGCTATTGAAAAGAAAAAAAAAACATTTGTTATCAATATAAATAATAACTGATATTGTGTTCCGGCCTCGATTAAAATAGCAGATTATTGGCTTAAATTAAATACACAGACTGTATAGGCCAGTTAGCAATCTAGTTTAATATATATTTCTGTGTACTAACGCATCTGTTAAAATATAATTAAGTTAGGTTGGTCCTAATGTAACCTGATCCAATTTATGTTAGGTTGGTCCTATCCTAACCTGATGACATTTTTTTAGGTTAATCATATTCTAATCTAATAACATTTTTGGTAGGTTAGGTTGGTACTAACCAAATTACATTTTTGGTAGGTTAGGTTGGTACTAACCTGATTACATTTTTGGTAGGTTAGGTTGTTACTAACCTAACAATATTTTTATTTTAAAAATACTACAGAACAATAATACTGGTAATACGACGTTTCATACTTGTTGGTTTTTCATAGAAGAGTGCAGCTGACCTAAAATATTATGATCTCGTGCAATGTAATACTTAAAAGTAAATGATCAATGTTAATATTTAACTCGTTGTTTATATATAGCCAGAAGATAATGTTCCAACAACATCAACTGAAAACTCATCTTTAAATATTTTATGGTAAACAAAATTGTATTTTTATAGTTGAGTGTCACAAAAAGACCAACGATTTTGAATCGCCGGTTTCAATGTTTTCAACATTGTCTTATCATTTTTATATTACTTATCATTCCGATTTACGATAAGATAATCATTCAATTTTTTTCACTATAGCCTTACCGAAAAGACGCCAACTGGGGCGCTACAATCGTGGCTCATTTTTCGCTGGCCTTACTATAGGTTTTTATATATAAACTTTATTTGTTAAATTTTGAATAAATAACACTTATATTACCTCTACTAAGCTATTATTAGGTAAAATAAAAAATTACTTATCTATTTTTAATCGGAATTATAACTGATATCAAAAATTATAAAAACAATGTTACCAATATTGAGGTGGAAAATGTGAAATTCACATAGACCTTGTACTCTTAGGACTTAGACGCTTAGATCATATTCAATGGATGGAGTTATATCATAATAAATGAGTTGAAGGCAACATGATTTTAGCCAGGGGTACGAAACTCCATGTGTTGGCTAAACAGGCGATTGCGGCCTTGAACACGGTATCCAGGGGGGCGTGGCATACGTGAAATAGGGAATGGTAAACAAGCCGACCCCGCGTAGCGTATCCCGCCTATGTTTCGGGATACGTTTACATAATACGGGTGACTTTGGGCCTAACATCATGTTGATACGCGAAACGTTTCCATGTTTTTCGGAGGTTCAGACTTAGGTTAGGTTAGGTCAGATCATAGGGAAACAAAACCCCAATCAGCTGATCGAGTTTCGTTTCTATATTGTTGTGTGCTATAGCCTTGAGGACCCGTAACATCTGCGCTTGCGTGACTAGTTATTATAATATATCAATCTGTTTTCCTATTTGTTTATCTTAACTGCGCCAAACGTTAATGATAAAGAAACCACGCACTTGCGCATATCACTGAGGTCCTACAGTGATGTTGGCTTCACAAATTATTCGTATTTATTTATTCTCTATCCATTGTATATGATCTAAGCTTAGACGGAACATATTATAGTAGTTACCCATGTTGACGATATGCTGCGTCCCACAAAGCACATGCGCACTAGTGACGCACGATAAAGATCTAGATAAATAATATTGTACACATATTGTACGATTCTATGATAGAAGTTATAATGAATATTAAATATAATATCTTATTTGTTTTATTAAAAACTTGTTACCTTTATAGTTACTCATTTTAGTATATTACCCATTGGCCATTACAATAAATAAATTATATTATTAATTTAATTAATTTACAATAATTAGGTCAACCATAGTTTTATTTTTTTGAATCGGTATCACTGATACATTATCTATTGGTCGTACTACTCTACCCCGCCAACTATTCATGTTCCATATTTTATGAGTATAAGGTCTATGGCAATTCAAAATCGGAGCTTGGTACATACAAAATTCCGTAGTAAGCTTACGGGAACGTTATCAACTTAATATATAACATAATTATATTCTTGAGTTCGGCTTCATGAAGATAACACTGCCGCACTGCCCCACTTTGCACAATGTTGATGTACGGTCACAGAATAGGTGAAACCAGAATGGACACTCACCAAAAATTTATATTGGCTCTTATGAAAGGCATGGTATTTTGAGCTAGAGTACCTCCAGAATTAACTTATTATCACTAACAAACCAATTTTGGTACTAGATAATATAATACAAGATAATAAAAAAACTGAGCCTGAGCAGTTTTGTGGGTGTGGAAAACAAGAGTGAAAAAAAATAAAGATAAATAGTTTGACACGACATGATGAATGAAAAAATTGATAGAAAAAAATCACAATTAGCAGGTCTTCTAAATTGTATTTTATAAACGGTGAATTATCGAACACTGCATAAGTGGAAGAGAGGGTTTATGTGCATTAAA